CGAACCCTGCGGAACAGGTAGCTCCTTGATGACATCTGTAGGGACGCTGATCGGAGGTTAGGATGGGTTGGCCGACAGCACACGGATTCAGCCATATTGGGCATGCATCCTAAAGTTTTCTCTTTGAGAGTTAGCAAAAGAAATATGTCAGTTTCGCTAACATTCTTGGAATAACAGTGCAAAGGTACTGAATTGTTGCACGGTTCAAATTTACCCATTCAAAAACTTGTTATTGAGAATTACGCAGTTTCAAAATCGTATAGCTGGCTTATCATTTCATCAAAGTTACTACCTGAAAGAGCAGTAGAATCAAGAAATTAATACAATCCTTAAAATCCGTCAACGCGTACGATATTAGGCTGCTTCAGATCACTTATTTGCATTTAGCACAAATGCTTTCTTTCTATAATAGTTCTCACAATGGCATAGGGATACGGATAATTTTATTATCCGATTCCACTTTTTCTCGACATTCACGACTCCTTAGAATATGAAAGGCGTTCGTTTCGTTCTTTTACAAACCTCACAAGCCTTGCGTGTCAGGAAATTGTTCTGATTTCCCTTTGCACCGAAGTAGTTGAAGGCAAGGCACCTCCGTTGAAGGGCATCGTAGTAGAAGCGCGTCAGAGCTCCCTCGCCTTCTCCTTTTGTGAATGGTTCAGCACATGGATTGCTACCTGTTGTAAAGTATTTGAACCTCAAATGTAGGAGTTTGGTTTCTGCGAACAACATATTATCGAAAATTATGCTACTTTACTTTCACAAAACACCAAGGTAGAAGGGCCAGTAAGAATTTGAACTCAACCAAGACAACTGGAATTTGTGGCGGCTTTTAAAAATCAAACCTTCAACATATATTGGGGAAAAATAAACATAATTGCAATGCAGTCTTCTCTCTTGGTTTTTGCTGTATAACTAGAAGGGGAAAGAAAAGTTTAATTTACCTATTCGCTTTCGTCCTCTTCACAAAACGATCCAAAAGAACTTATAGACAAGCAAAACTATGCTATTTTGTATGAATGAGCTCCACACTTTTTTTATGTCGCACTGATGCTCATTAGATACTTTTACAGTGTCTCTTACATGATTTCATTTTTGAAAAGAAACTGCTGCTTTCCTTTGTGGTCTTATCACCAGCAAATGCTTTTGAAGGATTTTTCAAGCATCGCTGCTGCCTGATTGTTTCCTTGCCAATTGAGAAAATTTGGGAACCAATGGGCGTCATAGATAGATACTAGATCAATGATAAAAATGATGAGGTGGAGGTGAGAGCGAAAGCCAGAATTTCCACGATAGCCAGAAAATGGGCTTGG